GAAATTGTTAATGCTGGTGCACCAACACTATATCATATGAATGGTGGAACAACAGCACCTCCTCCTCAAACAGTTTATCGAAAAGAACCTGTAAGAGAAGAATCACCACCACCACAACGACGTACTGTCACTCAAAATCCTCGCACATTGCAAAATGACGTTCAATATCCTTCTAATACCGCACCAACATTATACCATATGAATGGTGGTACAACAGCGCCTCCTCCAACTGTTTATCAAAAAGCACCTCCTCAAACAGTTTATAAAAAAGAACTTATTACTGCTGATGCACCAACTCTATATCATATGAATGGTGCACCACCTCAAACAGTATATCAAAAAGAAATTGTAAGAGATACACCACAACCACGGTATGTTGCTGAAAGTCCTCAACCAACACGTTCACGTGCACAAACACCACCAAGACGACAAAATAATCCAAATACACAAAATACTGAACGACCATATGTAATACAACCTGCCAACTCTTATACTTCTCAACCACCACCAAAAGTTAATATGTATCATCTCGATGAACCAAATGATGTCGTTCGTTATACACCAGTGAATCCTCCTAGTTCTAGGGTTAATCCTCAACAAGAACCCTATAGAAAACAACAGCAGCCACCTGAAACTGTTAGACCAAAACAAACTACTGAACCTGATTTAACAGTTGTTCGAAGAGTTTATAAAAAATTACCACCTACAGACGACGAACAAATTCCAAATGAAAATTATGCACAACCTGTTCGAAAAGTTCAGCAAACACCAAGAGAATATACAGCATCACCACAATTAACAAACAGACAAATAATAAATCCTATTCCGAATCAAAACCCATCTATTTATTATATTCAAAATACTAATGCATATTAATAAAAAATAAATTTTCATGAATATTTCATCATTTCATATTGATTAGAATAATACAAAAGATCTGTAAATAAAAGGAGGACTATTTTCTTTTTTCTACACTTCTTAAAATGGTCAAGTTAAAAGTGATTGACTATTGCTTTAAATATTGTAGTGAAATGATTAAAAAAAAAGACTTCTTATAGGTTTCTCATATTATTGAAAGAAAAAAGAATGGCTTTCGATAGACTGAAGACAAAAAAAGTCTTGTTGACTAACGTTAGCATTATAATTTAATCAAGTAGATGTCATAAAGTATTTAGTTAATTAGAAGAAAAAAGGAAATATTACTTATAATATAACATTTATGAATAGACGAAAAAAAATTAATTTAGAAATATCTAAAAAAAATTTTCTTGTAATATGTCCTAACAAATTTTTCAAATGTGAAACCTTAGAAAATTTATCATAAATTTTGTACGATGATTGATTTAGACTTTTTAGTGCAAACAACTGTTTATTCAGTCAATATCAGAATTCTTACGCATTTTTAGTCAACTATAATCTTATATATGAAAAATGATCAATAAATTCTTTTTTTCATCAAATTATCGCCTTACGATAATTGAGAATAGAAAGTTCGTTATTGCATCATATGTAGATAAGTAAATCTATTTGTTGAAAGAAGAATTGATAATTTTAATTAATACAAAAAGACGATCTTATCTTATGACTAATCTGATGCTAAAGTTCACTACTCATAATATTCTCTAGATCTATATATGTCAATACTGAATATGAATAGGTATCACAACTCAAAAAAAACTGTAATAAATTTCATCAGATAAATGCATGACACACATGTATTGAAATGAACGAAAAAAATTGAGAATTTTATCTTAAAATTTAACAACTATATTTCGTATTATTATTAATTGAATTAATTCTTTGAATTTTTTTTTCAACAGAATTAATAATAAAAGTGTTCCGATTGTTTTTGAAGAAGAAAAAAATAAGTGCTCTTTTCAATCAAATCAAAGAATAATAAGCAAACAAAATTAATCTACAGTGTGACGCTTGACAAGTAAAAAATAACAATACAAAAATAGTGTTACCATTGACAACATGACACTATATATGTATGGACTCATTTCAAAGTTTAAAAAAAAAAGGATTATTTACAGATGAATGAACTCCATATTTTTTTTTTTGTAAATGTCATGACAGATAAACTAGTATATATCGTATGTTTCATTATTGATCAATAACAATTGTTAAGAAACGGAAATGTTGACTGATTAGAATTAATCTGTATTGTTTGATTTCCTTACACGACATTGAATTAAAATAAAAGGATGTTAAATGCATTCATTTACCATCTTTTGTATTAAGAGGAAGAATTTTATAAGTACTGTATTACATAATTCACTATAAAGTTTGCTCCACATGTATATATATATTTTCAATTCTACTTGTTGTAATCATGTTTTAAAATTAAAAAAAAATACGTATATATAGAAATGCATCATTAAAATCTTCTTATCATGCTATAAATAGATTATATTATGTAATCTTATATTATTTTGATCGTTAAACGTTTTTTGTTATTTGAAGTAGCAGAGATCATACTACTATCGAAGGTAATGATGAAGCTCAAATGTTAAATGTTAAAAATGCTCCTAAAGTTACTATTATACGATAATGATGATTAACAAATACGATGTACAATAGTGATCGATTTTATTTGTATAAACTACATAATTCTACTGATAACTGTACGAATAATGTCTAGACGTAATACTGATACCAAATATTATGATAGAATTTTAAGTGATTGATAATGTTTAAAATGATTAACATATTTTTATTCAATTTAAAATCTGAATTACATCAACATAAACAAAAATATTACATATGTGCCATTTTCTTCATATATAAATGTAGTTTATCACACGTGATAAAATTTTAATTTATCATCATATGAATTTAAATTTCTATTTACATAAAATATGTAAATTTTTTGTCAAATATTTATATGATGACAGTTTTCATTTGTTAATATTATTATTGTTCATTGAACGAAAGTAAAAGTATGACATGATATAAATTTACATATACAGTTCAATTCTCAAGTTCATGTTCATTTTTATTTAGTGTATTTCTCGTTATCATACGTCACGTTTTTTCTTGTATAGTCTATATTATGTAATCAATATAGAAAAAAGAAAAACTTAATATCACGGTCAATTATTAGCTCAGTGAGCGATAACGATAAAGAGAATATTACATCTATCTTTCGTTTTTTTTTTTATTATTATTGAATATTAATAGTTATGCACACTGATATAGAGATTTGTATGTATATATATATTTATATTTATCTAAATTTAGCACCGTATTGCATAGAAAAGAGAAGCACCATCATAAAAAAGAAGGTGAAATAGGGTTCATGAACTTCTATATGTCTATTATATTATTATTTAAAATAGAGTACATCTCGACGCATTTGAAACATAATAATAATTATGATTAAACTTGGTACAAGTAAAAATACAGCAGATATTATACCAATACGTTGTTTATTGGCATACATTGCATTTTCTAATGCTGTAACGCAATTTGTTCCTGTACAATTATAAGTTGAACGAACAGGTATCCATACAGATGCTGATGTTAGTGCAACATCATTTTCAAGTGTAGGTCGAAGACGATCATAATAAGCAAAACCTGAAGCACAAGCACCTGATAAAATTGCCATATAAAGTGAAAGTAGAGCAAGAGAAATTATTAAATAACGCCAACGACGTTGTATTATACCAAATATGCCAAAAATGATTGGTATTGCTACTATACCACTACCGATTATGAGAAGAATATGAGCTAAAAAAAAGACATTTATAGTCGATTATTTTTTTTCTCCTCTTTCAACAATTTTTACATACGTGCATAAATGGAAAAATAAGCTTGTCTATTAAAAGCAGCATTGAGATCAATAATAGTTTTATATAATGGTGGTTGAAGAAGAAATCCTATACCTAGACCAATACCTAATAAACTTTGTAGAGTAAGAAGTACAAAAAGGATAAGTGCGATCAATTGGATTGAATCCAACGGTCCACATGGAAAATTCATCGTCACACGTGAAGACCGCTGCTTATCAATATATTATACCATTACTAATCTAAAAAAAAAGAAATCTATTTATTGCAACTCAATAATTTCGAAACTATTCATCGTAGTATATATTCACACATTGTAATAAACATTCATTATTGCTCTCTTTCTTTCTTTCTTATTCATTCAAATATTTGAAATAAAACTATAAAGTAACCAAACATATGAATTAATTTGTTGCGTGATAAGACATATACGACTTACCTGGCTGCCATAAAAAATACGACTATATATACATACATATCTATACATTGAACATATGTCACGCATTTTGAAAAAATAACAAGAAGAATAGATGAAGCTAATTAGGTAATAAATCTTATTGATAATATCCATCTGACACTTTTAAAGACATTTCTATATATTTTTTTGTCTCACTAACAACTCAACTACACAAATGCCATCGATGGCTCTTAACATTCGAAAATGAATGACGAGTAAAAAAAACCGCGAGGGAGAGAGAGAAAGAGGCAACTAGTAAGAAAAGAAAAAGAAATGATGATGGTGGTGATGAAGTAGTGGTTTAAATGTGTTGTATATTACAACGTTGAGATGAAGAAGAACAAGAACAAGAAGAAAGAAAAAGAAAAAAAAAATCATGTTTTATGTATTGCCTTTCTCTTCTCTTCTCTTTTCCTAGATTGATGATCAAAATTTCAAGAACAACGTAATATGTATTACAAATATAAATTTATATTAAAAAAAAAAACGAAAATTCAATTTTAATAGTCAGGTTCAGTCATATATATACACAAATATTTAACAATTATATTCACCTAAAATTACTAAATAATGACAATAATATATGTATAAAGTTTATATTCAATACAACACTGTCTAACTGATGTTCAAGGTTATTATACTTCTACATTTGAAATAATGACCTTGGTTTGTAGGTTACTTTTGAAAAAAAAAGAATGCCAATGAGATGTCATAATGAATGAAAGATTGATTGATTGTTACCTCTTATAAAATCAACAAATTGAAATAATTTCATTTTCAATGAAAATATTTTCATAATAAATGAAATTTTTTCTGTTACATATATGATTGATATATATTCTACGCAAATATGTTCAATATTTCTACATAATATTTGCATATACACTTGCAATTTTTATTTGCTTGTTGAACATCTATGTAATCATTTGGCTTCACTAATAATTATACCGGAGGCTTATAGACGGTCATTTAAACATGTATATATTTATTCAGGTCAACTAGTGTTGTAACAAGCATGAAATCAAGTTTATACAACATACATTTTTTTTATAATATATTCTCGTAGTACTAATAAAATACTATTTGATATTTTTATTTATTTATTTAAAAATAAAATATTTTCTTTTCGAAAGTTATTTCAACATATATTTTTTTTTGAATAACTGGCCTATTTATTTACAAATATAAGAGTACTGTTGTTAGTAATGTTAATATCACGAGGAATGCAAAATAATAATATGATAACAGCACAAAAAAAACAAAAAGTTGCTTCGCTTATCTATTGTTATAAGTTGGATACACTGTCAAGAATATTTAATTTCACCTTCAGGCAGATAGATAGAATTAAGTTGTTATAAACATGAAAATGGTGAGATAATTTTTCTTGTTGAAAAATTACGTTTTTTTTTGTTAATTAAAATATGAATATTAGGTTAGTGTAAACGCGGAAATACCTGTAATATGCACACAATCAAGTCAATCTATAGGTGACAATGTCATTCGTATTGGTGTTAGTTCTCTTGGTTGGTTAACATTGTATTTTATTATGGGTTGGATATCAAAAACTCTCATACCTGGAGTTCGGTAAAGTCAATTTAATACTATATATTGTAAATTTTGACTATAAAATAACATCAAATTATTTCAACAATTTCGTTAGTGTGACCTTCTAATATTATAACTAGGTGTTTTGATTGATTCGTTAGTTCATTTATGAGAGTGCCAGTAACAAGTTTAATAATGTCTGCAAGCAAGTAGAATGTAGTCCTTGTCTTTTAGTAGTAATCAGTATAGCAAGTTTAATAACCTTCTTCAAGATTCAGATACCATCCGAGATTTCTAATTCTTTCTTTTTTTTTGAAAATAGGTCATTGAAAGCAAAAGAACAAATGTTTTGGCAATTAGCTATGGTTCGCTCAGTATGTGGCATGTGTACATTATGGGGTATGAATTGTTTATAAGACTCAAAGCTATCATTAATTTTTTTTTGTTCTATATTTAGCTGCTTATATTATTTATGTTGATGGTCGTCTTAAGTGTGACCATGTACTATCATCAACGGATGAATCATGGACATTTTTATCTATTTTAACTGGTTTCTTCATATTCGAAGAATCGACATTAATTTTCTTCGATGTAAAATATGGTACATTCTCCAAAGAATTACATTTACATCATTTTTTTTGCATTCAGTGGCTATTTTCTTGCTGCATGGTATAATCTTGGTCATTATTATGCAATAAAAGGTTTTATACTTGAAGCAAGTACACCATTTTCATGTGTTTGTTGGTGTTTATTAAAATTAAAACTTGAACATACAAAAGTATGGAAAATTAATCAATGGATATTAATATATGTATTTCATTGGCGTACTGTTCACGAATTTTGCTGGTGGTATGATATTTACAATGATTGGTCAAATATTAAGGCAAATCTTCCACTTATATATACAGTAATGATGATGACAGGTCTTGCTCTTGTTAGTTTGTGGTTAACACCTTATTGGACATACAAAAAAACAGTTCAATTCTTTAATCCAGTTGATTGGAATGTAGAACATGCTGATGGAAAAAAGAAAAAAGATGGTATTGACAAAACATCATAGAATATGATTAGAAATAATCAAGCCAATAATATTTCTTTTTTTAAATGTTTTAGTAATTTAAATGCGTATTTTTTAAATCTATTCGATATTTTATATAATTACTAATTGATATATGAAATAATAAAATAAATGTTTTTTATACGAGATATAATTTGTACATGTCCTTTTTCAAGTAGACGGCAATGTCGCCGTAAAATACATGTTCAATTTCTATTAACTGATTGGAACAGTTTGCTGAATTGTTTTCACAAATAGGCAGGAATACATAACTGTACAGTGGAAGATTATGCGCAAAATAAAGTGAAACAGTAGAGTCATACAAATGGTAGTGGTGCCATTAAGCGAAAAGTTTTCGCGAAAGGAACTCAGCGAAATGATTTTTCTTGATGAGGGTATGAACGAAAAGTGAGGGTGAGGTCGAAAGGTATTTTACAGTTGTGACTTTCGCTGAAAAGTCGTTCGCTTAAACGATTTTCGCTCAACGGACACCACATCAAATATATACATGTCTATGATACCCTGATAGAAATTGAAGTAAATCTCGATTATTTGTGAGAAAAATAAAACTTTATATTGAATTTATTTAAATCTACTAGATAATTATATTTTTATTTAATTCAATAGATCAACAAAAAAATTGTAAATATAAACTATCGGATTAATTATATTAGTTTTTTTTCCATCAATTTACAAGATCATCATCTGTAATATTATCATTTTCAAATGTTTTCGTTACTTGTATAAATGGAATATTAGTAATTAAATCTGAATTTCGACTATAATCTAACCATAAGTTTTCAATAGATTGTCCAGTTAATTCATTCCATGTTGTATTTTGTTTATATGTAACATCCCGTAAACCTTTATCAAGTTGTTCAATAACACTTGAATTATATTTATTTTCAAGCCAGATAAGAAATCTTGCTGTTACTTTATAACTATCATAATAAGATTGTTTATTAGTATGATCAGGTAATGACCAATCAGCATCAATATTTGAACCACCATATCTATAACGAACATAATCAGCAAGACCTTCACCTAACCATTTAACATCGGCTAGATTCCGTGTTGTATATTGTTGAACTAGATGAGCTAATTCATGAAGAAATATATCATAATAACGTGCAAATGATGTTGGATTTCGTAGTCGATATGAATTAATAATTATTGTTGAATCAACTGCTAAACCCCAATATGGATATTTATTTAAACCATCAATAAATACATGAATAGAACGAGGAGCGTTTGTATTAAAACGATTTATCAGACGTGGATATATATCAAAATAGATTTCAATTAAACGTTGTTGAACAGCAGTATTTAATTTTAAATCTGTATTTTTAATAGTTAAATTATAACCATTTAATGAATAAAATTTTTTAACAATAAATTTTGTTTGATTTAAAATAGATATTTCATTACATTTTATAATACCTAATGTTAGAACAAAGATAAAAAGTATGTTCATATTCATAATGCAAGATATCCCATATGTTTAGTATACCAATGATTTGACCTACGAATGATCAGTTTATATATGAGAATAGAAAGAGAATACTGTTAACCAATTATGTTTGTACTCTATGAGTACATTTTAAAATCATTCATTCATTTATTGAACCAATCAATTACTTTATTCAAAAGCCGATTTTTGGTTAACCTTGCAAGGAAAGGAGATTATTATTACGTACTGTGAATTTGAATAGAAATATTTGAACTATTATTATATTCTCTATATAATTCATTCAATGATCCTGCTGAGAGTACTCTACGCGATACATATGATTAACTATTTTTATATTTGCAATTAAAATCTTATTTTTTTTTATTTAAAAAAAAATAATTTATTATATATTTGGATTATTTGCGTAATCACCCCAAAGTTGATCAACTGATTTACCACCTGAAAATTGATTCCATGAATTAGCTGAATAAGTATTACTACGCATAACTGAATCAAGTTGATTGACAATATTTGGCCAACGATTTTCACACCAAACTAAAAATCGTGCAGTTACACGATATGCATTCGTATAATGATGATTTCGATCAAAATCTGGTAACCACCAATTAGCAGCTGGATTATTTCTTCCATATTTAAATCGAGCATAATCAGCAATGCCTTCAATTAACCAACCTGGATCACCACGTGGATAACGTTGAACAACATGCATAGCTTCATGTGTAACAACATCTGTATCTTGTGGATTATTTCGAAGCCATGCAGCACTTATAACAATATTACCACCTGATGCATAAGCAACACCATTATAATTTGGATCAATTGTAAATACAACATCACGAGTACATCCATTGTTATTAAATCGACTGCACATTTGTGGCCTAAAATTTATACAATGAAAAAAAAAGATATTTAAATGTAATAAGAAATTTAATTAAAAATTTACATATTAGCAAAATATGTATCGATACATCTTTGTCTTGTATTCTGATTAAAACCAGGATCGTTATTGATGATTGTCATTTTATAATTGCCTGATGTATATACTACTGTATCAGCATATAAATTGCCAATACTAGCAGTTATAATAACTATAATCAATATAATTGAAGACATTTGAGCACAATATACACTGGATTTTGTTTTATTATCTATTTCGTTTATATATGATTGCTAAAGATAATGGGATTCAGCGTCAGCTATTCAATTTCTCAGTCGATGAGAAAAATAATTTTTATCTATGTACTTTAAACTTATTCATCGAAAATATTTACTATACTTGTCAAAAGGGTGTTAGGTAAAAGGCTAACTTCGTAGTTGAATTTTTTTTAAAGAATACGATAGATTCTCTGTTATGGTATATTATTACATGATAAAAAGTATTTGCCATAGTTGATAATAGGGGTATACGGACGGGAGGACGTAACACACCTCCTCTGCCCTCGACACCTCGGTAATAGTCATTGAATGAAATTAATTTTATCGATATTTTATTAGAAAAATAAATAAGAAATCATTGAGTAATCAAAGGGAAGACAACACGACTAGTTAAATAGAAAAATAAAATAAAAATATTGACTTAAAATATCACAGGGTACATCAGATTGATGATGGTTTAGTTGAATCTTCAGTATTCGAAACAACAACTTCTTCAGTATTTACAGGAGTAACATCATTAGGCTTGAAAAATTCTCGAAATTTTTCTTGTTCCAATTCACGCATTAAATTATTTAATGCATAGATCTATTATATAAAAAAAGAAATTAAAAATATTTTATAAGTAAAACAAACTTGTCTTCGCTGATATTCAGATTTTCGTTTTTGTTCATTATCATTTGGTGTTGTACATAATGTTGGTAAACGTATTTTCGATGGAATATTTGTTGTTTGTCGTTCAAGTTTAAATGATGATGATGTTGTAATAGTACCTTTTGATTTCTTACGATTTTTTTTCATTTGCATCGTTTCTATTTTGAAAAAGAAATTAAAAATAAAAACAATTTTTAATAAATAATATACCAAGTGTCGAAGATAAAACATTGGATTTTGTTGGAAGAAATGGTAGTTTTGATGATGTATTAATTCCTATAGTTGGAATTATATTGTTATCAAGTTCATCATTAATCTTTCTTTCTAATATGTGATTATCAATTAAAATATGATATTTACGTGATATAGAATTTTTTGTCATCGAAGATATTGTAGGTGATAGTTCATCATTAGACATTGATTTATTTTAAAAACAGATATATATTCTGAAAATGATCAGTAACAAATAATATAGATATGAAAATTTTCACATGATTGATGCGCATACTTTTTATAGAACAACAAGATGATGAAATTTGAGGAGAAATATACAAAATTCTTTTCTTTGTCAATCGTAATAAATTCGAAAAACTTTCTTTTTATTTCAGCACACAGTGTAAAACTTTTTACAGTATTAACGTACCTCTAAATCGGAACTAAAAACATCATATACATTTTAAGTAAGTGAATCATTGTTAAATCACTTGAATTTTAGGAATACAAAAATATTCTTACTAAACATAATTGATTAGAGCAGTTGGAAAATCTTTAAACGTAACGCGACAGTGCTTTACGAAATTTAGTTCTAAATAGAATATTCGTAGTAAACTGTAGATCTGGATCCGATTTATTTAACAAATATCTGGCATTCTCTGCCCACAAGATTCAAGCACTTTATAAAAATATCAATGAATAGTCGAAACTTTAAAAGAGTCTGAAGTTAAATTTAGATATAGACCCGGCCTCGCAGCTCCCTAAATATTAGCTAGTTTATATAGTCATATACTTCCTTTACTAAATATGCCATATCAATCGTAATTATTATATATTACATTATCGGACTGTAGGGATGCAATAGCTTCATATCAATAAACAAGCTTTTTTCATCTTATTCTTCTCTGATAAGAATCAATACAATTCTGAATAAGATTAAACTGATAACTACAAAATATCTTCTCTCTAGCTAGTAAATTGACTAATTACCATTTCCATGTTCTCTTATTTACGGTAACCATCGTTACCAAACGAATAATGTTACAAACATGATTAAAATTCTTATGCATTATCTACACGTGATTGTTAATCATAGAAAAATCGATAGAATTTATAGATTTTATTTTTTAAGTATCAATCTATTAATGCAGATGAACGTCATCAATTGACGAAGCTATTATTTGATTGGTTAAACGATACCATTTGATATATATCTATCTTTTCTTCGAACGACGTAAACACAATCGAAGATAAAACTATTTTATATTTATTTTCAATTTTATTTATTACGACGTAAGTTAATTAATATATATATATATATTTTATTAGGATATCTTATTATATTTAGATTCTTAAAATGGATCAAATTACACAATTTACCGAACCATGCAAACAATTTATGAAAGATTCCATTCGTTTAGTTAAAAAATGTACAAAACCTGATCGTAAAGGTAATAAGTTTTATTTAATATTTTGTTTTTGTTTTTGTAAATAATATTATTATTTAGAATTTCAAAAAATTGCTATGGCCACAGCAATTGGTTTTGCTATAATGGGTTTTATTGGATTTTTTGTTAAACTTATTCATATACCTATTAACAACATTATTGTTGGTTCATAAAATAAATAACCAAAAAAACATTCGTTTTTTTTTCTTGTTGTTTATTGTCATAGAAGTTTTTATTCGTTAAAGTTTATGTATAATGAAAACAACCAACATATTTAACTCAACTATAAATGATTGTTTTATTATTTTTTGTCGTTAGATAAGAAAAAAATTTGGTTTGACTGAAAAATGATAACCAAAATAGAATAAAATACATCGGTTTCGAATAATCGTTTTATTTACTAATTGATATATATGTAGAATAATACAATGAAATAATAATTTTTTTTATCCTTTGTAGGATGATTTAATTGTATTAGTACAAGAAATAAATAATTCAAAATCAAGAGTATCATCATCTAATATATGTACCTGGAAAATATACATTCCATACTTTCAAAATACATGAGTGGTAATTGGTGATGATATACAAGGTTTAGCAATCGAAAAAGAGAATATTCGCAGATAACGCACTCACACAAAAGTCCTTATTTTGTTCAGTCATGTCGGAAATGATAAATTTCACACGAATGCTTATGTTATAAAGATATATAATCGAGAGTAGTATTGTAGTGGAGAGGTTGGGCTATCTGATGGAAAAGACATTTTCAAAAATATTAATTTTTTTTCGAACTGAATGTCAAATACTGCGGTAACGCACTCATGCGACTCTGTAAAGCTTTCTAAAAGTTCTATTTTTACAACCCTTACAAGAAAATAAGGTAATATACTAACGACAAGCTGCTTTTTTGATTTCTATACGAATGAGAAACTATTTTGTCAAAATGTTATAGAAATCAATGATTGTATCTTAAATCATACAAAAATAGAAAAACCTATTTCGATATCTGATCTAATAAGTAAAGAAAATTATTAATTGCTAATTGCTACTATTTTCGAAATATTCATTTTATATGTACTCAAATTTAGTTCTGATATTTCTAATCAGCATTAATAAATATTTTACATTAATTTCATTACTTGAATTTAATCAAATAAATCAAACTATTCTCTCAATATAATGAAAGATATTCGTAATCTATTTAATATAAACCAACTTTAATATTCTCTAATCGTCATCGTACGAATATACTTCATTATACAAGAAAAATCTTAATAATAGCGGCAATTAACCTATGTAAATTACTAAAACATGTTAGTAGAACATTTTTCGTTGTGATGAGTATCTTCACATAACACTTTTAAACTAAATTTTATTTCTATAATGTCAATAAAATCTACTAGCATCGTTATAATTTTTTAGCTATGAGTTAGAATGATTTTCTCAATCAAGATTTATATAAACTTTGATTATCTCAATTGAAATATTATGATTTTATTAAGAATAGATGAAGATCTTGCTAGATGTCGGTAGAACACAGAAACGACTAGTTTCTATTCGATTTACTATTAGTCCAACCAACTATATATGTTAGATTCTTTTAACTGACATAACATCGAAATTTCTTTTTTTTTCTTCAAAATGACAACGATGTTAAATTCATTTGGTACCGATGATAATTTTTCTTCCCTATCATCAACATCTGATCATATATTTTCACATTATCGGGAAAAAGATGACGCATCTTATACTTCTCAATATCCATTACCACAAACAACAACATCAAATAATACTACAGAAAATAAAATAAACAATAATGATCATAATAAAATCTCTTCACCTACTATTATTATTGGTGAACCATTTTCAGCTCTTATTAATTCACTTGTTCCAGCACCACAATTATTATTAAATGATACAGATGAACAAACAATCTATGATGAATATGGTTTTCGTATTGATATTAATGAAAATGAACAACAATATGAAATCGTACCAATTAATGAAAATGAACAAATTAAACTACGATGGCTAACACATCTTGACTCAGCATATAAAATAGATGTTATTCATTTACCTATTCAAGAACAAGAATTTGTTCATAAAATAAATCCAAAACAATTTCGACAAGATCCAAAAATTGCTACACTATTACAACAATCATGTGGTATTCCATTAGCATTACGAGCACAAATATGGATGTGTCTTAGTGGATCATTACGCAAAAAATATCAAGCAAAAATGTCTTATATTGATATGCTTAAACAATGTAATAATGATGCTCAACTTTATTCGAAACAAATTGAAAAAGATCTTCTAAGAACATTACCAACAAATGCATGTTTTATGTCACTGAATGCATCCGGTATATCACGATTAAGACGTGTTCTAAGAGCTATTGCTTGGCTGTTTCCAGGTATAAATGAAAAAATAATTTTCTTTATTTTACAAATATTTATCTTCATTTTATTCTAGATGTTGGTTATTGTCAAGTATGTATTATATCGAAGAAAATTTAATTCTATTTGATAAAATTATAAATATGTATAAAACGATGCACTATCAAGTTTCGAGAAGTTCACTAATGCGAATTATGATATATAGACCATCTATGCAGATACGAGCTTCTAATCTCTGTCAGTTAAGTGATAGAGAGAAATTCATAATAAGACCTAAAGAGGAGTTTTTATAGTAGTTTATGAACAAAACTGATTCAATGACGAAAGACTTTCTAAATATCGAACATGTTTGGGTATAGTCGTCAGAAAGTGAATCGAACCGGCTTTTACTGATTCGGTTCGTTTTCGCTCTCTGATAGTCATATAACCCTGAAGATGATTATGTGTTATCGTGACCAGACAGATGTTGAGTTGTTCTCAATAAAGACATGTTATCTGTACAGCCATGACGAAAACGGTTGTTTTATTTCAAATGACCATCTAATAATGTATCATCTATCTTTAAGAATATTAATTTAATAACTGATTTGATCTGATAAACACTTTTGAAGTCTGTAAAATATGATATCTGCGAATATCCTTGAAAAACAAAGACTTGATTTGAATCCTATTCAACTGACTAGGAAAAAGATGATAAAATCTCAATGAATTATTTTATAGGGTATGGGTATGATTTGTGCATCATTATTATTATTATTTGAAGAAGAAGATACATTTTGGATGATGTGTACAATAGTTGAAGATCTCTTACCTGGTCAGTATTATTCCGTATCATTATACGGTGCTCAAGTTGATATTCGTGTATTTCGTTATTTAATTGAACAGCATCTACCAAATATTCATAATGTATTAAATATATATGATATTGAATTGGTTTTAACATGTTTCCAATGGTTTTTAACTTTATATTCCAATGTATTTCACATTAAATTTACTTTTCGTTTATGGGATTATTTTTTTCTTTATGGTTCAGTCATATTATTCCAACTAGGTTTAACTATGTTCAAAAAATATGAAAAAACATTTTTTAGAATTTACAAATAGTACACAAATATTCAATTTTATTTGTGAATTACCACAATTATTTGAATATGAATATGGTACTAATGAAGAAATATTTCATGAATTACCGAATCTATTCAACTTAACATCAGAAACAATTGATTCATATAGAAAAAAATATCTATTAGAATTAATGTCACAAGAAGGTTATACAATTAATCCTAAAATACCATTAGTTAATTTACCAAAAGATATTTTACAACGACGTTATAATCATAAATTAAATCCACGACGCGCATCAAATAATTCTCAAGCACTTATTGAACGTAATATAACACAAACAGAAATTCTTGTTAATTTACGTGAAGCAATACTTAACATAGCCAAACATTTTAAAGATAATGATCCCGATGGTTATATGGAACAAAATACTAATTTAGATGTTGATTATTCAATTGAATCTCATGTAAAAGATCATGAACATTATGCAAATATTTCCTTACAAAAATTTAAACGCGCAAAAGCGTTAATAGATTTTGATACTCATGATCCAAATGAATTGAGTTTTAAGCGTAATGATATTTTGAAAATTTTATCTATGACTGACGAACATTGTTGGATTGGAGAATTAAATGGAAAACATGGATGGTTTCCAGCTAAATTCGTTCAATTAGTTGATGAAAGATCAAAATTATATTCATTAGCTGGTGATGATAGTGTTAATGATTTTATATCTGATCTTGTCAGAGGAAAATTAGCTACTTGTATTAAAGCAATATTTGAACATGGATTAAGAAAAACACCAACTGTACTTGGTAAATAGAAAACTTATGTAGATTAAAAAATCTCTTACATATTGAGTCGCGGCTTTTTTTATCGAAATTTTTAGTATTAATAGTTCATTTTTGTATGACAGTCCTTGAAGAAATCAACCGTACCTAGATGTGTATTTGTAATCAGAATAAATATATCGTGTATCACATCAAAAATTATAGGATGCGCAAACGAGATATTTCCTTAGAGACTGTTTTGATCACGATGTTAAATGTCGAGCGTTTAGACGAATAACATTTTAAAAGTAGTCGCTTTTTGCGATTCGGACACCATCAAAATTCTTCTAATTATTTCAAATAAACGGGGAAAAAGTGATTCTATTAGAATGCACCGGAGCAAAGGAAACATACAGGACATAGATATATAATACTAACAAGCAGAAAAAAAGATTGCACGTCTGTAAAATCACGTATTACACAATAAAAAGATGCTCTAAACAATTAATGAACATATATATCCTTGAATCTACTTTTTTTTGCAGGTGGTATATGTCATCCATGGTTATTTGTTGAAGAAGCCGCATTACATGCAATAAATAAAGATTTCGATAGTGTTTATGCTCGTCTTATACTTTGTAAGACATATCGCTTGGACGAAGATGGTCGAATTTTAACACCCGAAGAACTTTTATGTCGTTGTATACGTTCAATTAATTATACACATAATCTAGCTCATACACAAATGGATGTTAAATTACGTTCGTTTATATGTGTTGGTCTTAATGAACAAGTTCTTCATTTATGGTTAGAAACATTATGTTCATGTACAGATATTATTAATAAATGGTATTTTCCTTGGTCATTCTTACGATCACCTTGTTGGGTATGTATAAATCAATTTATGAATGGATTTGTTTATTTTTATTTAATTTAGGTTCAAATTAAATGTGATCTTCGAGTATTACAACAATTTTCTTTTACATTACAGCAAGATTTTGAATTATCCCCAGCATATAGACAACGTGATGTTTTATCAAGTGTACGAGATATGCTTATGAAACATCATCTATTTAGTTGGGATCTTTAAATGTGAACTAATAATCATTCTACAAAATTTTTATTCCATATTATATATCAAATCAAAATACAATGAAATTCTTCCCTACTGTTGTTGTTGTTAATATTAATATTTATTAAAAAAAAAGCAAAATAATGACTATTGTTGTGTTTTTATGTTGTGAAAAATAATTTACAAAAAAGAAACGAATCTCTAATTTGTTTTTATTTTATTTTTTTGTGCAATTGAAGTCATATATTAAAAAATATATATATTTTATTTTTAATCTATAGATCTAATGTCAGCTACTGGTTTGGAAGAACATTCATGTGTTACACCTAATTGTGGTGGAAAAGCAAAACTTCGCTGTCCAAATTGTGTCAAATTAGGTATTCTTGAAGGCTCGTATTTCTGTTCGCAAGATTGCTTTAAAAGCCATTGGCCAGAACATAAAAAATTACATGGACAAGCTAGTATGTATTGGTAAAATTTTTCTTAATTAAATTTTGAAATAATTTTTCCTATTTTAGAAAGCTCAACATCAACGAATGAATCAGCAGAAAATTATAATCCATGGCCAGGTTTTCATTTTACTGGAAAATTAAGACCCTATCCTATCGTAAGAAATTTTTATTGGAAAAAAACAAAATAAATAATTCGTTTTTTTTTAAAGACCGCTCGTCGAACGGTTCCACCGAATATTCGTCGACCTGATTACGCAGATGATCCAAGAGGTAGATCAAAATCGGAAGAAGGAGAAAAATCATCTAGCAGTACAATTGTGGTATTAACTGACGAAGAACAGGATATATTACGTGACACTTGCAAGGTTAATATTTCGAAAAAATAAATTCAGATCTTTCTAATTGATTATATTCGAATTTTTTAGATTGGTCGTATTGTTTTAGATGAAGCTGCTCGATCACTTCGAGTTGGTATGACAACCGATGAAATTGATCGTATTGTTCATGAAGTAAAAAAACAATGATTTCTTTGAACATTATTATATTCATAACCAATTTTTTAATTTAGTGTTGTATTGACAATGAATGCTATCCATCTCCGCTTAATTATTATGAATTTCCTAAATCATGTTGCACGTTAGTTTTTTATCTTATTTCATATTTATATATTTAAATTTATTTTCAGGAGTGTTAATGAAATTATTTGTCATGGAATACCTGATTTACGTCCATTACATGATGGTGATATTCTTAATAGTAAGTTTATCGATAGAAAATAAAATAAATAATTTATTTATTAAAATTTATAGTTGATATTAGTGTTTATAAAAATGGTTTTCATAGTGATCTTAATGAAACATTTCTTATTGGTAATGTCGATCAAAAATCACGCGATCTCGTTCGTACAGCATACGAATGTTTAGAAAAAGCTATGGAAATGGGTAAACTATAAATATATCGGAAAAAACAACAATCTATTGAATTTTAATCTATAGTCCGTCCAGGTACAAAATATCGTGATGTTGGAACTGTAATTCAAAAACATGCTACAGCAAATAATTGTTCAGTTGTACGTTCTTATTGTGGACATGGCATTCATAAGTATATATTTTAACAAATGAATTTATTTATAATATTCTTTTTTAGACTTTTTCATTGTGCTCCAAATATTCCACATTATGCCAGTAAATATTTTCCATAATTTTCTATGTTTTGACTTGTAATTTTTTATTCTAGAAAATAAAGCTATTGGTATTATGAAAGCAGGTCATTCATTTTCTATCGAACCTATGATAAATGCTGGTAAGATAGATAAATAAAATAAAATAGTTTATTATTATTATTGTTTGATTTATAGGATCATGGCGAGATATTCTTTGGAATGATAATTGGACGTCAGCAACTGAAGATGGACAACGTTCAGCTCAATTTGAACATACATTTCTTGTAACTGATACGGGTTATGAAATTTTAACAGCCCGTTCATCTGGTCAACCATGGTTTTTAGATGGAAATAATATTAGTTAAAAAAATAAGAAAAAGAAAAAAAACGATATGACTTAGTTTTTCTTGTTTTTTTTTTTATTATTTTCCTAACATCAAATATCTGTTGAACACAGTTCAAGACTAACATTGGATTATTGTGATAACTTTAAAATTCACATTGATGAATTTTATATAAAGACTAAATGAAGTTTTGATATAAAAAAAAACAAAATGAAATCAATCAAAAATAATTTATATTATGTAGAAAATATGAAGTAAATATCTATGAATGTAGAACGATTTCGGAAACATTTAGTTATTCATCATGTTTTATTTTCCTATACTTGTATGTCTTTAATAATCTATCCAGGTAGAAATTACAAACTTATGAGTACTAGAGATTCTATTTTCGCACACTCCCTCAGGATAACAAAAAATTTCAAGGTGTAAAAATCATGAAAAGTATTTTGGGTGAAAATGACATAAAATTAGTTTCTTATGAATTCCTTAGGATATTTTTATGAATTCAACATCAATGAAAAAAATACTGATGTATTAGATACAATCAAATTCTACTTGATATTACTGATGTGAACAATTCTTTATCTTGCGATAACGATTCAACAGCCTGAAGATTATGATAAATTGTTAGCATTAATGTTATTGATTATTTTTATGCATAATTAAATTTTCTCTGATAAGACTACTTCAGATAAATTACAATGAATTTCCGTTTGTTCATCATCATCATCACGATTTTCTAAGTAGTTTGGATATTAACGCTTTTCAAATAAGCCAAACAATTCCTTTTTGTTTTTCATCTATTCATATATATATATATAATTTTGCAAAGGATCTAAAGCTTTATCTTTTAATAAAAAAATCTGTTTGATTCATTTGAAGAGATATTATGTGTGCAATCTATTATTTATAAGACTCCTCTATTTGAGAGATATAATCTATTTTGAATATAGTAAACAGAATTTTTATTATAAATATCTACTTTATGAATCCATTACTTGTTCAAGGTTAGTATAATGATGAGGGTATTTATATACTAATCATTCAAGGATAAAAGAAAAATACAATCTAGAGATTTGAGCCATATATATGAAAGCAAGTAAATCAATTGTATTGAATTACAAGATATTTCCTTATCTTAGCTCTTCACATAACTCGATATTTTCTATTTCGTCGTTTCTAATGAGAAAAAAAATGTCATATTCTTATATGTTTTCCTTTTTAAGTTATTATATAAATGACCAAATTTAAGTAGCTGTTAGTATGATTGATTGTTTTTTCTTGTCATTATTATGATAAAAATCTATAATTAACTTACAGAATATATATTCTGTCAATTTTTATATTTCCCAAGCTGAAAATATTCTTTGATCGATTATTAAATTTTTTCAATTCACTTTGTTGGCTGTCTATTTGAAATATTTCTGTGAGCCACAACGCGAGAGTTGCCTTTCTCCCATCTACCACCGGGATTTGGCAAAGAAGAAGAAGAAGAAGAAGAAAAAAAAAGAGAAGACAGCATATAGAGAGAGATATATACACACGCACACACACAATAAGAGAAGCAAACAAGAAATAAGACTAGTGAAGAAGATCGTGAATCAAAAAGACACAAGAGAAAGAAAATTGAGCATGTTCACAAAAAAATAATAATAATAATAATAAAGAGAAAGTGCATACACCTTTGTATATATATATATGTATATATAACAGTTCTAAAACGCACTGTAAAAACACTCGTGCCAGAGAAGGTGTGCAGTTGATATTCATATCAGACTAATTATAATCGATGTTCTTTTATGGCTACAGGATGTGTATTAACAGCCATCATATAACTATAACGATTAGCATTTGCTAATGTTATATTTGCTAATTGAGAACTCTTTTTATAACTAGCAGATGCTGTTGGTTGTTGAGGAGTATTTACACCTGAAAATGCTTCAATAGGTCCGATAAAACTATGATGTTGTTGATGTTCAGTTATATTTGGTTTCAATGATGAATGATCGATTTGTAATTGTTGAAAATGTCTTCCTAATCGATCAGCATATGCTTCATATCGTTGTAACTAAAATGAAATTTTTGTATTAAAAAAGAAATAAAAATAATGTTTTGATTTACTTCATATTGAAGATAATCAATTTTATCTTTATTTTCAATCATATCACATGCTTTTATTTGTTTAATATCACCATTAATTGTATTATTTGCATAAGATTGGATTCTTAGATCATTTAGTTGTTTGGTTAATTCATTTATTTGATGTATAATAAAATCATATTGTTCAAACTAAAGAAAATAAATAAGAAAACTTATTTTAATATATGTATATATATATAGAATAATTTCATTTACAATTGAATAACGTGTTTGTACACTTGGTAAAAGTGGTCGTTGAAAACGTAAGGAAACAGAATCAATAGCTGCTGGTAATGGTGGTGATGAAAATGATGCTGCCACTAAATTAATTGTATCAATCCATTGATTCATTAAATCACGATCTGTTGTTTGAAATAAATATTCCGCCCAATCAGATGTTTTTAAACGAAAAACATGTTGTCTTTTACGATAATCAACTGCTTCTTGAGCAAATGCATGATGTAAACGTATAGCATTTGTATCACCAATTAATATTGTCGTTGGTTGTTGATCATTTTTATGTAAATAAAGAATCATATCACGTAAACTAGCATAATATGCTTTCCAACCACGACGTAAAAATGGAGCTATTATATATAAAAGAAAAATAAACAAAGAATGAAAATCAAACAAAAATAATTTACTTCGTTTGCCGTCGGACTCCACGCAACATTTGCGCATAAGATAACCCTTGAATAATAAATAGAAGTATTAGTTTGTTTGTTTTTTAATATTAAAAAAAAAAAGTTTCCTATTTACCTGCATGTATTCAATACTTTTACTGGTATCGGGAATCTAATATAAAAAACCAAGAGAGAGAAAATGAATCTTTTTGATTGATGGAAGTCATAAACTTACTTCTAAATATGGATTAACGATATTGCTGTAACCATGTAATGTTCCATGACCACCTAAGCGAACGTCATTATAATCGTCGGATGCGAGAGTTCTATATATAGAAAAAATTGCATTTTTATTGTATCTGTTATTTCTAATGAAACAATAACATATTAAGAGATTAGCTTCCCAACAAAAAAAAAAAAAGAAAAGAAAAGAAATAAGTCAATAATATTTGGCTGTTAGTTTATATATTTCGATAATATCTATTATATGATTGTCTAATTATTAGATAGTTAGCAGTGGAAAAGTATTTATCGAGAAGAAAAGAATGTCATCGAGAAAATTCTCATTTACTGTCGTTGCTAAATGTTATCTATACCTGTATGTATTTTTCTATATTTGGCTATATCTCGAAGTTTTCTCTTATCCTTATCCAATTCACATCGACGAACTAATACTATATCTATAGGCATCCCAAGCATGTGTCATTTGTATTCATATATATACAAATCACTAGTCGATATCTGTATCTTTCTACTACATACCAATATGTATATAATGTGTAGACAGGCAGATACAAAAAAGATAAAAAAAAAAGAAGATCTTTCTCTTTCAATGTAAACAATCGCCAAAACGAATAGTAATATATCAGTTAGCTATAAGTTTTTTTTTGTTCTTTTATTACTCATATATAATACAGAAACGTTTTTTTTTCTCTCTTTTTTTTTCTTATATATACATCGTTTCGTCATTTTTATTTGTATTATGTTACGCGCTAATGATGAATATGTACATACGAGGACTACTACTAGTTCAATGATAGAATTAGAAGAAAAAAAAACGATAACGAATATTTTGTTCAATGAAAATGACAAAGTATATTTTACGCGTGAACGACGATCGATATTGCAATGAGCGTGACACATGCGAACGCACGCGCTTCCTATTTTATCATACAAACCAGTTTCCGGTGTACAACGAATAATTATTATATTGAACTATCTTTTCAAGGCCGTGCATCTTTTATATCTTTTTTGACAATAAAACGATGACTAGTGAACACATATCTTTCTATATAATCAATCATTTCATCTGACTTCTACCAGTTAACATTTTTCATCTTTCTTTCTTTTCTTTTTTTTTTTTTGTTATGTCTCTCCATCATCATATCAATTAATCACATATTCGAATGAGAACATCGATTTTAACAATTAGTTCTTTTTATATTCCTATAATTTACAAGTACATGCAATTACTACATTGATCCAAGGACAAAATGAACAACTATGTTGTCCTTAAAATAAGATTCAATCAATTGATCGGATAAGAATGAAGAGAGAGAAAAAAAAAAGAAACGTCCCCGAAGCTATGTTACATAGATGTCTCATTTGAATATATATTAATTTAATAAGAATTTCATACTTACGTCTCATTCATAAGTTGCTCATTTTTAATTGCATTATATAATGATTTAAGTAAATCTTTTGAAAAATCTTTTCCATCATTTAATTCATGTAAATTATCACTGAATTGCTGAAATGTCATTTTATTTGTAATTTTCTATAAATAAATAAAACAAATAATAATAACATAGACTAGTTCTAAATGATGCATATCAATGAACATCAATTCATATAAACAAATATGCATCATTAATATAAAATAAAAATAAAAAAAAGGACAGATGATTTTCTTTTTCTCTAACTATCAAAATAAAAATATTAGATTATTTATCTAAGATCTTCATCAAAATAATCCTAAGATAATACTTACTGGATCATGGAGATCAGTATTGAGTAACATTATTGCACAAGTGAGCATATGACAAGCGTCTATAGAAATGTATATAATAGATAATTATTAAACTAGAAAATAAACTCTATTTACCAATCGAAGTAAATGTTGTTGGATTACAATCAAGATATCGTGCAGCAAAAAAATGTAAAACACGTTCACGATCTTGAGCTTCACCAATAATTGTAAATTGTTTAACAAATTTTCTTAATGCACGATCAAGTGTATCACCTTGAAAATCAAATAATTTAACATATTCTTCAGCTACCAACTGATTAAAATCATTCCTAAATAGATAAATAATAACTCATCAGAATTTAGCTTCTTATTTTTTTTTAAATCGAATCCAAATCGTTTTCCCTAAGGATAATAAAAAAAAATGTCTCATTTTCTCGGCTCACCAAACAGTTTTAACCATCAGCATAAATAACAATTAAGTTCAAGATGATGTAGAAAAGATTTTTTTACCATAATATTCGAATAAAATATACTAAAATATTTATGAGAAAAATAACAACTATCTCATTTTTTTCTTCTATTGCATGAATGAGTTTTTTAAGAAACGGAAATCTTTATTCTAATAGAAATTGCTGTTAATTCAAAAGGCACAGCTCTAGACGTCTTCTTTTTTTTGTAAAGAAGTTTATAGCATTCGAAGAAATTCATATTTGCCTGACAAAAATTTTAAAAAGTCTTTTATTATTTCTCGATCTTTGACAGCCACATTAATGAATAGAAATGATGATCCTTTTTTTTTTTATTATTATTCTCTCTCTTTTTTCACAACAACAACCCCTCGTCATAATGATAAACATAATGAGAAATGCATTGAGTGTTTCTAATCTGGATTTCCTGCCACTTTTACTCTTACAGCAATTAATTAGAAAATTAACTGACTTATTCAAAATATTTTAAGCAAAAAAAGTAGACAACTGTTTTTGCAGTCTTTTTCCGATCAAAACATATACATTATTTGATCAATCAGAATATAAAAAGAATATTAATCTATAGGCTACTGATAAGTATCAAAAAACAAGAAGTAGATTGAACTAGTTTTTCTTTTTTTTTATTTATAAAATGATACTTGATTTTTTTTTTGTAGAAATAAAGAATCAATCTATTTATTTCGATAAAATATGAGAAAAATATATAAAACTCACATACGTTCGTTCATTCGTACAAATGCAGCAATCGAACAAACACATATTCCCACCATGCACACATGATGGTGTGTATTTTTTGATTGAACTGCTCGTACGAACAGCAATGGTATTGATAACGACTAGCCTTGCCTACGGGAAGGAGATGGTGAGCGTTTTTTCTTGCCAATAACACGCTCTCGATGTTTCAATGTCTTCTGCTAATCGACGCACATAACGCGTGGGTTTTGTAAGCAGTTGTGGGAAACAGAACGGAGTGAAAATCGACTCTACAACTACTATATTTCACTCGCTAATGTTCAATTCAGGCGCAATGGAATTTCTTTTTCCATGGCTTGTTTGCTTGCTTAGTTGCTTCGCTCGCCGCAAAACTATTTTCATGCACACATGGTGATGATGCGCTCTCGCTTCCAAATAGAGAAAGAAAACGAGGGAGATTGAGAGAAAACAGTCTAACCGGAAGACTCAAGAACAGAGAAAAAGAATCAGTAGTAGTTATTTGATAGAAGCAGATTTTAGAAAAACTAAGGAGAAAAGATAGAACAAGAAGAAAAAAAAAAGAAGAAGACATATTCCGGAAAAAAGAATATGACGCAATAAAATTCTACTTAGTTTTTCTGCCTTTCTTATTTATATGCACGCAACCATGTTATTCTAATCAAATTAAGAATAAAGCAAAAAGCAAAAAGAATCCTAATAAAAGCAATAGAAAAAAAGAATCTATCATGCATAGTATATTGCATGTTTTGTTGGCCAAGCTGAGAAAAGGTAATGTATTTAATAAAGATAGACGAACATTTTTTAGATAGATATATGTGCTCTTTTTAATTTGTATGAATTAATCGAATGACATATACCTTTTACATAGATGTCTTACGACATCAGTTGATTTGAAGCCATCTAATGCATAAAGACGTTTAGCTAATCGTCTTGCTGATGGTAGATCAACTGATTTATTAACTGTTTCGGCAGTAACTGGTACTAAATCATAAAATAATATGGAAATAGACAAAAAAATCGAGAAATTGTTTTTTATTCTTACATTCAAATTCATCATCAATATCTCTAAGTCTTGCATCGATTTCATCTTTAGTTTTTTGATCAAGTCCACTTAATATTGGTGATTGGGATTGTACTGATATTCTTGCTATCGGTTGTTGTTGTTGTGTTACTGGTGTTTCTCCATTTGTTTCATCATGACCATTAACAATAGGAAGATTATCATAATCAGTATTACTTATTATTAATGGAGTAGGTAACTCAATTAATGATGATGATGATATAGCTAATTCATCAGATACTTTTCTACCACATGTATCAAGACTATTCTCACATGAACGACTTTTTGTTGATGTATTATAACCATTTGTCATTGAATTATTATTTAAAGATGAACGATGATGTGAATGTCCGTTTGTTAAAGATTTTGTATCCGTAGAATTTTCATTAATATATGATGGAGGTGAATACCAAGTTGAACCATTGGCAGTAGATGATGTATAACCACTATTGTCTAATAAAAATAAGTATATAAGATAAGTAAATCAATATAGTATTATATACTACTAGTCTATAGAAATAATTTGTAACTAACCTTTATTTGGTCAATTAGAAACAGCAGAATAAACTATTATTATATCTATTTATCTCAATCAATAGTCTTCTCTAAACGGTTATTTCTTTTAGTCAGTAAGAGATTAGATTTAGAATGCAAAGTGTATATATATATATATATGATAAACCACTCTGAAGAAAGATGTGCAATTAAGTTTTTACCATGCATATAGTTAAAGAGAGAAAAAAATCAACATTTATATACAATCTTATCTTTATCTATATCTGAGAAGAAAATGTATTTATACTTTTGTATACCTGTGACATTTAATCAGCCATGATTGCCTGTCAATGTCAGTGATAACAGTTTATAGAAAAGAGAAGAGAAGAAAAGAAAATAGAGATATGTCAATTGCTCTTTTTTTGTTCCTTACTATTTCCGCTTGTCAAAAGATATTATCTACTAATGGATATTTAACTTTGTATCCTTCGATTTACCTTTATATTGTTTCTGTATACACTGTATCATTAGTAGTTTTCTTTTGCGTTCTTGTTTTTATATTAAGTATAAAACAAATTCTATTAGAATAATTATATTATGATCACTGACGACTCCCAAGTGTTCACGTTTATATATATATATATAATATTAAATGATTCACAAAGATATATGAAATAAGAATGAATAATAGATTGAATAGGGATATATTTAAATACCCGGAAAATAACAACGACTATCCCCTTTACCAATACCCAGCAACAGAGAAGTACCTACGGCTATTTCTCTTTCTCTTCTGTCTCTATTTCTCTTTCTCTTGTCTTCTAATTCCTCGAGACTTTTATCCCATTATATGATAGCGAAAGAGTACGGACACGAGAGTCCCATAAGCATACAAGTATGTGTATGTTATGTGAGTAGAACAAAAGGAAAAGAACAAAATCGATTATATTCATCAATACTCACATACATTTAGAAGAATAAATAGTAACATCAAAAGTGGGTGTTAATAGTGAAATCGAACACTTTTGTAATCATACGCTCGGAGATATACATTTGTAGAGAAGAGAAGAGAAAGAAGGAAAGAAAAGAAGAGTAGGTAAGTATTGTAACTAATAGTTTTATCTTTTGTTACAAATATAAAAAAGTTGTGTAAGAATTAAATATAAATCACTCTACATACCAATCTGATCTTCTAATCTCATAATTAAAAAAAAACGCGAGAGACAAAGGAATTATCTACATTCTAATTAAAAAGAAAGTTTTTTCGTGTGAAATTAATCTATAAAGTATGTGAGTTATTACATGCACACCTACCTAATATAACTAAAAAACAAAAAAGTAAATCATTAGGGACAAAATAAAGTCATTATGAACATATATAGATATATAAAATAAAATTTCATACCTGATTTTAATCGAATTCGAATGCGATTACCAGATAATTTTAAATTTTTTTCAACTAAAAACAAATATTATCAAAGAAAAAATTAAATATTCAATAGAAAATTTATTTACATTCAAGAACTGTTTGTCCAGCAGTACTAACACCATTTAATTCAACAACAACATCACCGGGTACAATCTAAAATAAAACTTAATTTTATAGAATAAATAGAATTTTAGTTTCAAACTTTAGCAAGTGATCTCCAAATATGTGCTGGAAGACATGTAGTTTTATTTGCAGTCGATCGAACTGTAATAACTGAACGAGAACGATTTGAATTTATATGATTTTGATTATTAGTTGAATCTTGATCATTCGTTGATTCTTCTGTAATTGTTTTACTTGGTTCATCATCATTATCATCCATCCATTCAATACCAAAACCATTATCAAATAATTCATGACGATATCTTAATGAAATATGATATGAAAATAAAGTTTATATTTTTCAAGAATTATATACATACAAATCAATTACTTTAACAATCGGCATTAATGCCATTTGATATATCTAGAAATTTAATAGTAATGAAGAACGACAATGTGTTTGACAGTGATCGGTGAGTCATCAACCAACTGAGTGAAGAGAAAGTGTGAAAAAAAGAAATTCTTTTCTTTTTCTTTGTTTCAATAATAAACCAATGAAAGTTGAATAAAATACATTGAAATTTCTCTATGTTTATTTCCCAGGACAATTTATTTTCTAATTTATATATACAAAATGAAAATCAATTGGATCTTCAACTCAACAATTTTCTTGTTATTTTGGAAATGCGCGACATCTAAACTATTTTAAATAAACTTTTTTTTTTTTTAGTTTTTTTCGTATTTAGCAGTAGATTATTCTATTCACGAACAAATTGATCTATGATCTTTATTTTAGTAAAAAATAAAAAATTCATCGATGGAATGATAAATGATGATTGTATATTATTAGTAAATGAAATGAAAATAAAAACACTACATTTGAAAAGATAAATTGATATAGGCAAGAATAATGCTAATAATAAATATGAATAACATATTGAAAATCTAATCTCGTATTCATATGTATATATATGCTTTTACAGAATAATAAAAAAACGCAATGTAAATTTAACATATTCTATGTAAACCTATCAGTAGAAATCGAGAATTATTTGTACAAATTCCTATAATTAAAAACTAGTAAAAGACGAACTATTAGTATAATAGAAAGATGTATTGACATTTTTAGCTTTAAGCGATGAATGAACTTATAATAAGGTTAATTACATCAGTATCTATGGAAATCGTCCTTTACATTGAAATTAATTAAGCATCACGACATAAATTGACTCTATTAACTCAAAAATGGCTATAGTTATATATATAAATACAGTATTGGTACTGCATTATTAATCCTTTATGATATTTCTTAAAACTTGGTTTAATAACGCTAGAATAATATCTTAATGACTTTTCTGTAAAAGAATCTATTGAGATAAGTAGACTCTCGAGATGGTTATAATTGAGCATAAGAGTCTGTTAGATTTATGTAAGTACAAATTACATATTTTCGAAGCGACTATTAGATTCAAGTAGGAAAAGAACTTAATTGAGAAAACATTTCTGATGTAAAACTCAACAGATTTTCTAAGAAACGTCTAATATGAAAAAAAAATACTTTTATCTAAATTTTAATAGAAAAAAAACAAATTCTATTTATAGTAATTGGTACAATGTTTCTTTTATTTTATTTAGTTAAGCTGCTTAAGTTTCTTACTTTTTTTTTCCTCTCTCTCTAATAATTTCTAATAAATCATTTTTCTTTTAATGAACATACAATGGCTGCTTTGTATGAACTAGAAGATCCTAGTGCAAAAAAAAATGCACATTTAGTAAGTTTATCAAGAAATTTTCGTTTTATAAAATAAATTATTCTACTTCAATTAGAAATCTATTCGATTAATTGAATTAAGTGATCATTTAATACGTTTAAATCGTCGTGAAAATACTCAACTTGATTTACGTTTACAACAAATTAAACGACGAGAAAGAATTATTAAAGCACATTATGATAAAGATATTCATCGGAGACGTTTACAACTTGCACAAATATATAAAACATTAGATGAACCATCACATTTACCTATTGAAAATACTCGAATACAAACACCTGTATCAGTTTATGCAATTAAAATGAGTCGAAATCAATCAGCACCACCAAATATAAATCGAAAAGATGTTGAAAATAAAACAAATTTAAGACCAAATACAACACCAAGTACAATACGATATAGTAAACGAGCAATGAGTATATTTAAAGAAATAACACTTAAACCACCATATAAAACATTGGATAATATGCTACTTTTAATAAATAATGAAAAGAAATATTATCCAAATGATTGGTTAATGAGATCGAAAACTATGGTGAATATAAAAAAAGAAAATTGATATTTAATTATTTGATATAACAATTCAATATTCATTAATGTTGCTTTTCTTTTTTTTTATATACGATAAATTATAATTAAAATGCCATTGTGATACTCATATAATTTCTAAATGAATAAAAATAATATAATTGAATTTATTAAAAATTTATCTTAATCAAAACAGCACTTTAAGCTCTATTCAATAGGATACGAAACATAAACGATTATGATATATAAAGTATTACTAAAACCAAGAGGAAGATGTCAGGAGCAATCAATTCTTTAATACAAAAATTTTTTTTCAAAGATATCTTTATTAAATACGATTCGAAATATGTGTGCAAGTGGATATATTTTGATAGGAAACAGAGTGATGGAAATCATCTTACAAGCGAAGGTCCTGAGAATTTGAAAAATGAAAATAATGTGGGGTTGTTAAGTCAGATGTGAAACGATTAGGTGCTCTTACTGCCTCAGTGCATATTAACTGTGTGTTCATGCTTTCCACTTCAGATCTCTATGGCTATTGTCATCGTATTCTCTGCTTTAAACACTTTTTTGTATATGGTCATAAACATTAATAATAAAAAAAAAACTTTTTGTGTGTAGTAAACCAAGTGCTTCGTTATACTCATTCATAAAACAACTGGCGTAGCTTTAAAAAAATCCTTTCGCAACATATGGTGATGGTTTGCTTGTTACTAGACAAAGCATCTCCAAAAAAGCAAAATAAATATTTTGTGAAAATGAAGTCATGATTTTAGGTATACATAAAATATTAAGCTTTTGTTTTCTCTTCTATCATTTGTGGCAAAACAAAACACTTGACTTTAACCATTAACATTCGCGAAAAAATTTGTATAGCGTACGAAAAGTTTCACTAAAAACTTAGATTAATTTTGATTTGAGCTCGAATCGATAAATTTATAGACAGTTTTATACACAAGAGCAGATTTTGTCGAAAGCTGCTCATAACTCTTCGAATTTCTCTATACTGTAGGAAAATTTGAACTAACTATTAGATTAGACAAATATCTATAAATATGAATTAAATATAAAATGACCGAATTAGTCATTTACTTGATAAAGAAATTGTTCATCTAATATTATTTCCTACTTTTATTGTACGACATCACTTAATAAAAGTAAAAAAAAGCTATTCTTATTAGATATTAAATCTACTGAACTTAACTTTACGCATTGATTCGTTCTTGTTAGTTACAAAATTTTTATTACTGTCAAATGATGAAAAAAAAACAAATGTAAATAAAAACTGATACGATATATTAATTGAATTCAATAATGATCGTAGGATACAAATTTTCTTATAAACATGAACCTTAACCCTCTTTTATTAATAGTCAAAATGAATATATCAATAAAATTATTATTCATTTTTTCGAATAATCTTTATTAAGTCGGATAGAAATAGATCTCTAAATAATTTAATGTAATAAGACTTACACTTCGAGAGAATAATTAGATATTTTTATTTTAGATAACACATATCTCATTTATAATAATCTATTAGAAACTAACATGTGATGTAAATAAACATGAATATTATATATATATATCATAGATCGCAATTTAATTAGACTAATGCGTTCGGTTTCAAAATATTGATCAATTTTCTATTCTGCTATATAGGAATTAAAGAAAATGACTTGAATATATTTCGTTCAAGGTTTATCTTACGCATGAAATATCACTTGCACCGCCTTGAATTTCATATAAACTTCGATTAAAAAAACCAGATAATAACTCAACTGATAAACGTATACTATCAAGATAATTACGTTCTAGACAAACTGTTATATGCAAAATGTAAATATAAATCCATCGTCATATAATCGGCACTCTCCTCCCATGAATTATTCTCTTATATTATAATGTTGAATATTCATGGTCATTGATACGACCTTTCTACACTCTAATAATATACGTGTCATGATTTGTATCTTATTTATCCTTGAACTCATTGTTATACAGAAGCAATTTGTTTTTATAAAAAAAAATCCGGAATTAAATTTGAAAACAATTCATATATTCAGTATAAACTCATGAATGAGTTTATTTTATTTTAAATTAAATATTTCATTGCGTATTATCACGCTAATATACATACAGCACAACAAAACACCATACAAATAAAACCATGAATATCCAAAATAATGAGAACATATGACTTGAATACAACAGTAAAAGTACAACAAAAGAAGAAAAAAACGTTAAAATTTTATCATTGAAGTATAGATATGTACACACGCACACCAAACAACAATAATTTTTTTATCTACATAAAGCTACTCTATCTATTTCTAACCAATAACATTTCTAAAATAATATACATTAAACAAACTACTATGAAACAAGTAGTTCTCGACTTGAGTTCAATGAATTTGTTCGACTTTTATTTAGAGTTGTTGTTGTTGGATCAGTTGCTGAATCAAGTGATTGAGCTGAATTCGATCGATTTAATGATTTTGATGATAATGATGATGTTGTCGTCGCTGTTGTTGTCGTACCTTCAAAAAATGTATTTATCAAATCATTTTTTTCTAATAATGGTGATGTATCCGTGCTTCGTGGTAATGTTTTAACACGTTTATTAGTTATTGAATTTGATTCATTATTAGAACTACTGTTTAATAATTCAGATGATTGACAAGGTTCATCTGTAGGTGATGAACGTTTCAATGTTATACTATTCGGACGTAATAATTTTGGTGGTAATGATGAATGATGTGGTTGAGGTGATTCAACAGATAGATTAGCAATACCAGATGATGGAGATAATAATGATTGAGGTCGACGTGTATTAACTAAATCGAAATTAAAACCTTTGGGACGTGATGGAATTTTTGGTTGATCATTATTATGTTCTCGTTTAAGTGAACTACAACCTTCAACTTGTAGAAAACGTCTACGATCATATAATGGTGAATCAGTAGTAGCAATACATTTAACCATTGGTATTGTTGATGTTGTTGTTGTTCTTGTTGATAGTGGTAAACCACGTTCATATTCAGATAATTGACCCAAAAAATTAAAATTTGGTGATATATGAGATCGACGTGCTTTTATATATCGATAAGCATCATCAGCAGAAAGATTTAAATGACGCATAATATAAGCAACAGCAAGAGCTGGTGAACGACTAATTCCAGCTGAAAATAAAAATAAAAATAAAATGAAATGAAAAAAAGAGTAATTAACAAACCTAAACAATGAATAAATACACGACCGTTATTGA